GGGGTAGGCCGGTGAGGAGGGAGTTACAGTAGTCAGGTCGTGATAAGATAAGGGAGTGAATGAGCTGCTTTGTAGTTTCTGGAGTTAGGAACGTGCGTATTTTGGAGATGTTGCGGAGGTGGAGTCTGCATGAATTTGTCAGTGTTTTGGACCTGGGGCTGGAAAGACAGATTGGAGTCTAGATTGACACCTGTTAATGATGGACATTAACAGGCATTATTCATTTCACTGCCACCAACAATGGGTAATAATTTCTGCTACTGACATCAACAACAGGCATTGTTCCTTCCACTGACACCAAAAATGGGGCATGATTCTTCCCACTGAAACCAACAATGGGACATTATTCCTCCCATTGACACCAACCATGAGGCACTATTCTTTCCACTAACACCAATAACGGGGCATGATTCTCCCCAGTGACAACAATGATGGGGAATAATTCTTCCCACTGACACCAACCATAGGGCACTATTCCTCCCACTGATACCAATGAGTGGGACACTATTCTGTCTACTGACACCAACAATATGGAACTATTCTGCATACTGACATCAAACAACTGGGCACCAGTTCTCCTAACACCAACATCAGGGTACTATTTCTCCTAATGACACCAATGATGGGGCACTATTTCTCCTAATGACACCAATGATGGGCACTATTTCTCCCATAGACACCAACAATGGAGCGCTATTCCTCCCCCTAATATCAAAGATGCATTGTTTACTCCCACTGACGCCAAGACAATTTCTACTCCCAATGGCCTCAGTCCAGCTCACCTAAAGTTTATGTTTCAATAGTTTTTATTGAAAAAACTTTTAAGAACAGTACATGGTAAGAATATTCGGTTCAATAGTAAACATTCATACAACATAGTATTGAGTATTTACCCCACCAATTGGCTGGGGCTAATAGTGGGATTTAAAGTATTAACATCAGAGGTATTCTTAGATATGTGTTGAACCTTGGTAAGGTGTATGGGATGATAAGGGGGTATTGAACAAGGAGGGATGAGGAGGGGGGGTAGGGAGGGAGAGGGGTAAGTGTAACGGGGTGGAAGAAGGAGTACCAGTCTAGAGGTGGTGGGCAACTCAATTGTATTTAGAGTATCAGAATTGTACCGAGCAGTTAGGATTTTGTAACCAGCGAGTCCATTGGGGTTTGAATTTGTGTTGGGTAGAGTTGTTAAAGGCGAATCTTTTTTCCATTTCACATTGGAAATTAAGATATGTGATTAGTGACGTGAGGGAAGGAGCAATGGTAGTGTTCCATAATCTGGCTATATTGATTTTGGCTGCAAAAAGTGTATGGACAATGATAGTACGGGAGTTATGGGGGAATTTTTCAATCCCAATGTGTAGGAGTAAGTGGGGTTTGTGGTTATCGATGTTTTGGATATTTAGGAGATCAACTGGAAGACACTGTTCCAAAAGGATCTAATTGATTTACAGGACCATACTATATGTAATGTTGTAATGTAATGTTGAACCTATGTCTCCGCATTGTCGATAGCAAGAGGAGGAGTGTTTTGGGTACTAAATGGCTAGTTTGACAGGAGTTAGGTACCATTGGTGAAGGATTTTTAAGTATGATTCCCAGTGCGAACTCCCCTAAAGTTTAAAGGACAGTAAACTAGTTCAGAGAGTTTGGAGACCCCTGGTTTAGACCTACTGTAATTATTAGAAAGCATTTATGGTGCAGTTATAGATCAGTTTATTTATTTTTTCCAGTCAGTTAAAACAGACGCAGAACTGAGAACTTTTTTTCCATCAAGAGGAGGCCAAATCTAAAATATAAAAATGGTAAAAAAAAATGGTACAACTTCAGAAGAAGAAAGTATAAAGAGTTAACTGCATGATTATATAATTTATGGCTTGTTTTATGGTCTAGTGTCAAAACAGAAAACTGCCAGCACAGTCATATCATATGCGTGACATAAATAATATTTTGGTAGCCAGGATTCATTGTGCCCGTCAGTCAAGTTTTACTGCTATGTAGTGTACACTCAAGGTCAGTCCTAGAAGACATTAAATATTTCTGTTCCAAAGAATTTGAATGAGAAAAAAAGAAAGTCCATAATACATTAACACAGAACATTTATAAATTGCACAGACTTTAGGAATTGTCAGTGGAAATAAAAGCTTCTGAGAGAGCTGCTTTGGATTTCTTGTAAAAGAAAACTGTACCGTGTGAAATACAGATACAGAAATACAGTGCTGATCTTTGCTTCGGAAAATACTAATTGCCTTGCTGTTAGGTTGACCCAGCAGCTACAAAGATTTGTTAGTGGCTGACCTGAAGAGTGTATGCAAATCAGCTATTTGTCATGGCTGCATGCTTGTTCCTGGTCAGTGTTTCAAATGTACTGAAGCCAAAGACAGCCAGGCAGTTAACATTCTCAAAAGGCCATCAGTAATAGAAGTCTACATATTTCTCTCAGTACAGTTTTTGGTAAAATGTATATGTAGCCAATTTTTGTTTTCACGTTCTGGCTATAGTAGGGATAGATTTGAACCCCTATCAGCTTTTTATTTCTGTCCATGCCCTTGCTGGGGAGATTCATCCTATGTTTGTCCTGGTGACCATTGTAATTGAGACAGAATATTACAGAAAATGCAAAATAATAAAGTTGTCACCAAAGCAAGAGGTAGGGTGAAATCTTCCAATGGGGGAATCCATTCTGGTTACAATTGTCTGAGAGGGAATTTCCCCTCACTTTGGGGACATTTCATATCTTGTTCTGTCTCTTGGACAGGAAGTGAAGGGAAACTTCATTGGAAGAGTCGTGTTGATTTACTAAAAGCAGAGAGTGCAAAATCTGGTGCAGCTGTGCATGGTAACCAACCAGCTTTTAACTTCAGCTTGGTCTCTCACAGTACACAGAACATGGAAATGCAATTATTTTAGTAAATATAAACTGCTACTTACCTTTTCCCATCAGCAGTTTGCAGTGGTGTATTTTGGTTTTGTGCTGCCCTAGGCAAGACTAAAATCGGGCACCCCCCCCCCCGCATCTAAATTTGTCCCACCCCTTCCTGTTTAAGATCCAGCCCTTCATCTGTAACCCCCCCTTCCAATTTAGGCTCCACCTCTTCCTATTAGAGCTCCGCCCACTGGCAATGATGGGCGCTATTCCTCCCACTGACATCAATAATGGGGCACTATTCCTCCCACTGACACCAACAATGGGGCACTATTCCTCCCACTGACTCCAATGATGGGGTACTATTACTTCCACACTGACACCAATGATGGGGCACTATTACTTCCACACTGACACCAATGATGGGGCACTATTCCTCCCACTGACTCCAATGATGGGGCACTATTCCTCCCACACTGGCACTAATGATGGAGCACTTCCTCCCACTGATACCAATGATGGAACACTATTCCTCCCACACTGGCACTAATGATGGGGCACTTCCTCCCACTGACACCAATGATGGGGCACTATTCCCTCCCACACTGGCACTAATGATGGGGCACTATTCCTCCTACTGACACCAATCAGAGAGAGAGAGAGAGAGGAGAGAGAGAGAGAGAGGAGGGAGAGGGGGGAGAGAGAGGGGAAGAGAGAGAGAGAGAGATAGAGGGAGAGAGAGAGACAGAAGAGAGAAAAGAGGGAGAGAGAGGGGAGAGAGAGGGGGAGAGAGGGAGAGAGAGGGGGAAAAGAGAGCAAGAAGAGAGAGCGGAGAGAGGGAGAGACAGAGCAAAGAGAGGGAGAGAGAGATGGGGGAGAGAGAGATGAGAGGGGGGCAGAGAGAGAGGAGAGAGAGGGGGGGAGGAGAGAGGGGGGGAGAGAGAGAGGGGGGAGGGGGGGAGGGAGAGGAGAGGGGGGGAGAGAGAGAGGGGGGAGAGGGGGGACGAGAGCGAGAGGGGGAGAGAGTGGGGAGAGAGAGAGGGAGGGGGGAAGAGAGAGAGAGGGAGATGGAGGGATTGGAGAGGGAGAGAGAGGGGGGAAGAGAGAGGAAGAGGGAAGAGAGGGGAGAGGGGGAGAGGGGAGAGGGGGGGGGGGAGGGAGAGGGAGAGGGAAAGGGGGGGAGGGAGAGGGAGAGGGAGGGGGAGAGGGGGGAGAGGGGGGAGAGGGAGGGCGGGAGGGGGAAGAGAGAGAGAAGGGGGGGGATAAATAATAACACAAGGCTGGCTGGAAGTATGGGCGGGGCAGACACAGAGGAGAGGACGGGAGGAGGAGAGGCAGCTTTCTCTCTCCTCTCCCATCTGTGTGAGGGGAGTGGGGGCAACTGTCAGCACTGGGGACTACATATGCTGACAGATCCCCTGCAGTTCTGGAGGGGAGGGGGGGCGGCCGTGGGGGAGCATACAGTAGCTGACCGTATGCAGGAGATGGATAGGGGAGGTGACTGGTGGCACATAGAGCAAAGGAGAAATGCACGGTCCTCTATGTGCCGCCCGGCCCCCTCTCCAGCCAGCTCCATGGCTGACAGGTTCTCTGTCTCCTCACACGTCCTCGCCACTGAGCACACACACACGAACCCACCTGAGCACGCCCCCTTGGCCAAGCACAGCCCTTTGCAGCGACAGCACTGGTCCCTTCTGCCTGGGGGCAGTGCCGCCCCCCTGAAAAGTGCCGCTCAAGGCAGATGCCTTGTTTGCCTCGTGGCAGATATGCCCCTGGCGTATGTCTTGAGACTTCTATCGGTGTCCAGCAGATCACTGGTTAAACCTTGTAGGAGGAGTTTTCATTCTCCCCTGATTGTCCTATGAGGACCCCCCTGACACTCAGTCTGGTGCTGTGATGACCACATGCACTCTCCCAAGAAAGAAAAAAAAACCCTCTAGCATTAAACTGAGCATGTGTAGCTTGCCACCAAGGCTCTGTTTTATCAGAAGATGGATTGGGGACAGTAGAAGAAGGGGAGGATCGGAGATAATAGGATCAAACATCTTTTTTATGCAATACAGAGGATTAACCCCTTAGCTTCCCCAGTGAGTATAACAAGCATGCTTTACTGCATATACAGACCGATTTTACTGTTGTGGGTTTAGTAACACTTTAAGCTTTGACAAAAAACCTGGAAACTGATTGGTTTCTATGCAGAGTTGCACTTGATTTTGCACTCTCCAGTTTTAGTAAATCAACCCCATTGCCTTTATTGGAAGATTTCCCATCACTTCCTGTACTGATGACAGCTGCAAAATTCAAATAGGGTGAATGTCCCCAGTATGATAACAGATGCAAAAGAAACCTGGCAGGGTTTTTTAAGACTTCCACACATTATCCAAAAAATACATTAGAATTCTGGCATTAGGTATACATTAAGACTATTAAATGTGCAGTCAGAGTGACTACATTTTATTTACTATATTCTTCATAATATACTTTGTGTGTGTGATTTCCGAAGAACAAGTCAGATATGTAAATGTTGATGCTCTTGGGAAGGCTTATTCTGTCTCCATTCGTTTTTTTTATGTGTGTTATTTTATAGAACAGACATTCAGATACAGTTATCTTATGTAAGCCTGGACTAGCAATATCTCAGCTGGCAGGTCTGTTCTTCCTGATATTCATCCCAATGGCCACCTAGTCTCTGTAATGTAAAAAAAAAAAAAAAAAAAACTGTTGTTGTTACGGGGAATTAATTACTTATTAAGCATCAGAATGTATATCTATATTACTACCGACTCTACTTCACTCTAATCATGAAAATTCCCAGCGGGCGACATGAGGATACTGAACACAGAAATACATTTTTGTATGAAATAGGAGGTTGTTGTGTGTGCTGTGTTGCATTGTAATTATTTACTTTTTTTTTTTTTTTTTTTTAAAAAAAGGAAAATTTATTTTTTTCATCGTGTAAATTTATAATTGATGGTCCTGGTAATGGTAATAGATGAAACACCAAACCACCACTAAACTGATCGATTTAACGGTTTCAAAAATAGTTGCATTCCTGGAATGCAGGGATTGCAAAAAGTCACATTTGCTTGTGTCCCTCAACCAGTCTATCAAACCATCAAATGGCTGGTGTCATAACTGATCACATGTGCAGTGCCATGGTAGTTGCAGATCAAACAGAAGCAGCTTACTTGGTTGTAAAGGATAGAAGAGTTAAATTCCGCTTTAGGGCTGTCAGCAGATCAGCCTCTACAAATTTAGCAGTGCCTATGGGCACTTGTGAGGTCGCACCGATGAGCACTGACAGGCAGCACTGATGGGCACTGACAGGCATCACTGATGGGCACTGACAGGCATCACTGATGGGCACTGACAGGCATCACTGATGGGCACTGACAGGCATCACTGATGGGCACTGATACAAAGCACTGATGGGCACTATTAGGCACACTGATGGGCACTGATGGGGCTACACTGATCATCAGGGCACTGATCATCAGTGCCCTGTTGATCAGTGTAGATGTCCCCTCTGAGAAATACTGCTTACCGACTCTCCTCTCCTCATGCTCTGTCAACGTGAGGAGAGGATGGCTGATAACCAGCATTTCCTATTTATACTGTGATCAGCTGTGATTGGACACAGCTGATCACATGGTAAAAGGCCGCTCTGATTGGTCTTTACCTGGACATATGATCAGTTTTTGTCCAAAGGACACAGCGATCACAGATCATACACGGTGCATGCCCCAGGGGACTAGCTGACAGAGCTGCAGCCATCTTTTGGCTATAGCACCGTTGGGAACTGGTTAAACAGTATAGACACTTAGTTTTAATGTTTTTCATGGCTATACCTGCAAAAGGGGCCAGCCTGAAGTAATCTAGCAGGAATTTTCTGACTAAAGTACCACTTTAAGCTTAGTAGAGGGTATAACCATTTATTTTTATGGAGTGTAGTCTAGGAATGCTTTGAACTTTTACTGGTCCGGAAACCATGGCTTGAGGTCTACCTATTTTCCACTAAAGGGGGCAAGTGTTGGCTGGGGGCGAGGAGGTGAGAATCTAGTGTTTGCAACTCCTTTGATGATGATACCTGAGAACAAAACTCACTTTTCTTCATGAAAGCAAAACCAAACATAATAATAATAATAATAACAACATTTGCTCTATCAGATTTTTCCAGTAGACAAAGTAAAAGCAGCAACATGTATCTGCCTACGCCAAAACATTATATATAGTACATGGTTAAAGTATTCAGAAAATATTTTTTGCTCATCTTTCTAAAGATAGGAAGTAAACTGCCTGCAACGCAGCACATCATAACAACCTGCTTTTCCACATAAACATTTCTGCTGTGTTCAGTGTCCTAATATCACCAACTATAAATTTTCTTGATATTAGTGATATTGTCAGTAGTAATATATATATATATATATAATATATATATTGTGACAGGGCGAACGGCGAGGTGATAGAGGGACGCTATGTGTCACCTCGCATATGCTCATACCTGACCGTTTAGGTGGAGTCCACTCCGGGTTTTTCGGGGCCACAGTTAAGCAGGTGGGTCTGGACCAGAGTTTTTTGGGCTCCACTGATGACCACCAACAGGTGGTATAAATAAGGCAGGGCTGGAGCAAGGAGTCGCTCGTGGCCTGGGACTCAGAGAGGTGTTCTGAGAGAGCTGTGTGTGTACGATGCCTACAAGAAAAGGTTTGCTTTTGTTTTATTTCGGTGACAGGGAGCAGCCCTTCACCTCTGAGAGAGGAAACGCCTTTTGTTTAGTTAGTGCCTGGATGGCAAGGGTTTATTTTCATGTTTTGTTTATTTTCTGCAAACCTTTTAAATAAAGCTGACAACCAGTCAGATTTTGATGAAAGCCTGCTGTGCGGTCTACCTTTGTCCCAGGGAAGGAGATTCCCCACCTGAGCTAACCCCACAATATATATATATATATATATATATATATATATATATATATATACACACACACACACATACATTGTGACATTGTGGCTCTTTTTCAACCTTCATTGCTGTGTCTGTTAGCCTCAGAACATATTCTGCATCTCTGGAGTAGTGGCGTTCCCGTTGCTCTGCCCAGTCCTGGACAGAGGGGTGGCAGTGAACGTGGTATACTTGAAATTTTGCAAAAGCTTTTGACATGGTTCACCACACACGGCTAATGTGTAAGGAAAAATCAGTATGTAAATGGTTAGAAAACTGGATAAAAGATCATATTCAAAGAGTAGTGGTTAATGATGCATACTCTGAATGGTCTATTATTATTATTACATCGAGTTTATATAGCGCCAAAGGGTTTGCTCAGCGCTGTACAATAGAGGGGGGGGACAATACATGGCACAGTACAACAATAACAAACAACGTACGAGGGGTAAGAGGGCCCTACTCTTTCGAGCTTACAATCTAGGAGGGAGGGGGTAAAGGTACAGTAGGAAGTGGCTGAGGGGAATGAGGGGTGGGAGGAAAGAGGGAGAATGGCCGTTAGGTGAGGGTGGGGTAGGCTTCCCTGAAGAGATGGGTTTTGAGGGAGCGCCTGAATGTGAAGAGGGAAGGCGACAGTCTGATGGATTGGGGCAGTGAGTTCCAGAGGATGGGGGAGGACCTGGAGAAGTCCTGCAGTCGTGCATGGGAGGAGGAGACCAGGGAGCAGGATAGAAGGAGGTCCAGTGAGGAGCGAAAGGTACGGGTAGGGCGGTACTTGGGGATCAGGTTGGTGAGGTAGTCAGGGGCAGTGTTGTGAACGGCTTTGTAGGTCAGGGTTAGAAGTTTAAATTTGATGCGTTGGGCAATCGGAGCCAGTGGAGGGAGAGGCAGAGGGGGGTGGCAGAGGTGGAGTCGGTGGTGAGGTGGATGAGTCTAGCCACTGAGTTCAGGATGGTCTGGAGCGGGGAGAGCCTGCACTTGGGTAGGCCGGTGAGAAGAGAATTACAGTAGTCAAGGCGTGAGATGATGAGGGAGTGTACTAGAAGTTTGGTGGTGTCAAGGGTGAGGAAGGTACGGATCTTGGCAATGTTGCGGAGATGGAGCCTGCATGTGTTTGTGAGTGATTTGACATGCGGTTGGAAGGAGAGGTTCGAGTCAAGAATGACGCCAAGGACTTTGGCTTGCGGGGGCGGGTCGGGAGTGATAGTGGAGTTGTTGGTGATGATGGATAGGATGGGGGGGGGGGGTGTGGGCAGGGGGAAAGACGAGGAGCTCGGTTTTGGAGAGGTTGAGCTTGAGGAAATGTAGCGACATCCAGTCTGAGATGTCATTTAGGAGGTGAGTGATGCGGGCGGAGATAGTGGGGGTGAGGAGAGGGGTGGAGAGGTAGATTTGGGTGTCGTCAGTGTAGAGGTGATAGTTGAAGCCGTGGTAGTGTATGAGTTTGCCCAGGGAGGAGGTGTAGATGGAGAAGAGAAGGGGTCCAAGGACAGAGCCTTGGGGGACCCCAACAGAGAGGGGAAGGGAGGGGGAGGTGGCGCCATTGTAGGTGACACTGAAGGAGCGTCGGGATTGGTAGGATGAGAACCAAGAGAGAGCGGTATTTCTGATTCCAAGGGAGAGTAGTTTATTAAGGAGGAGGGGGGGGTCAACTGTGTCGAAGGCCGCAGAGACGTCCAGGAGAAGGAAGACAGAGTAGTCGCCCTTGGCTTTGGCATTTAGTAGGTCGTTAGTGATTTTGAGTAGGGCAGTTTCAGTGGAGTGTAGGGGACGGAAGCCGGACTGTAGTGGGTCAAGGAGGTTATTGTCTGTAAGGTGGGAGCTTAGGCGATCGTAGACTATGCGATCAAGGAGCTTGGAGGTGAGTGGCAGCAGGGAGATGGGTCTGAGGTTGTTGGGGTCCGCGGGATCCAGGGAGGGCTTTTTGAGGATGGGGGTGATATGCGCGTGCTTTAGGGGGGAGGGGAATGCACCAGTAGAGAGGGAGAGATTGAAGATGTGGGTGAGGGAGCGGATGAAGGAGGCGGGGGGTGACCGGAGGAGTTGAGAGGGGATAGGGTCCAGGGGGCAGGTAGTGAGGTGAGCTTCTGAGAGGACTTTGGCGACTTCCTCAGTAGTGACAGGGCTGAGGGAGTGCAGTGCAGGGGGGGTTATGGTGGGCGGGGCCTTGGGAGAGGTGGGGGGCAGTGCGGTTGTGAGGGCAGAGGAGGGGGGAGAT